ATATCTTAAATTCTTAACACTCTTATAGAAAGTTTTTGCAAGAATGAAACGTAAGCAAAATTGTGCCTAGAAAATGCCGAAAATATTCGACAATCATTCAAAATTACACTCATTTGTAATTTGAGAAAACAGTCTTTAAACTTGCGGCGTAAATAGTCGATAATTTTATCCTTTTGTCGGTTAAATTTGTTAATTTCCAATCAACTGTTGATCAAAGATATAAAACTATCACCAGGGCTCAAGCTAGGTTCAAAATTTAGGGAGAAGTCACTTCTCCCTCCAGCTGCTTTTGGGAGAAGTGGGGAGACTTTAGGGAGAAGTGAGGAGATTCATTTATCGATGTTTGTTGTATGTTATCGCAATTATGTTGACTCACTGTACATATCTTATTAAATGAATTGGATTTGTGTTACAACAGAATATTCAATTTTAATTTAAAAGTAGTTTGAAACAAGTAAAAAGAATGAGTATCATGTAATGCAACCATTGCATTACAGGGCCGGCAAAATCAATTGTCCGAGTTGCCCGAGTCGTAAAATTGTAGGTCTGGGCAAGTAAAATTCTGCAGTTTACTTGTCCGTGGACAAGTAAATTTCGGCGGCTAAAAGAGGATTCTGAAGAAAAAATCTAGTTTTTTTCTAATAGATCTAAATCAGAAGAAAAATCACACTTTTAATACGAAAACTAGCATGTGAAGGGTGGTGTCATTCCTGAGGGCATTCCGTGCATATTAGGGTGTTACTATTTTAAGTGTTTACATAAAAAGCGACCAACCAGGCTTGGGGTTTTCCTTACGTCATGCAGTTACTGCATGCGCGCGGCAATTAACTAATTATTGAACGTATCAAGGTCACTATGTGGGGTACATGTTTGTTTTGGTTTATGACTGCCGACTTAGCCTTTGCAATAAAATATTTTCGGTAGCAACGGGGATTCACCCATAAAATTGACTTGGAAGCTGTGGTCTTTTCAAGCGCATTTATTGTTTAGATAGCAGACACAGCATCAATCTCGCAACAATTGTCTTTGAAATACCGCTGTGTCGTACGAAAATTAAATACATTGTATAGCTTTTCCAGGTCATTCGGGAATATTTACGCTCACATCGGCAATTTGACTGCTTGAATTTATGTGGACAAAGTCATTTTATAATTTATTTTATGTAAAGATTTCTTGTGAAAATGCCTTTGTTTTTGAATGTCTAATACTGGTGTTAATGTATACATGTCAGTTTCATCGTCGTCGATAATAATGATGTCAAAATTTTCACAATTCATCTGCTGCAACCAAGCGTATATACGTAAATGATATTACATTCTGTGGCAATCATAATTATACTGTTAAAAAAGCCAGATGTCATCAATTTGACAAATCTAACTCAAGAGTTAACAGGATTCAAATGAATATTATATAGATGAATAGAATAAGGAGTGAATAAATAAGAAATGGTACCAGAGTGCAAAAAATTGAAGACAATATTTTAGAGCAATTTGGGTGCAAGAAAAAAACTGAAAAAGTGCTGGCAAAAGTCAAAGACCAATGCTCCTTCCAGTAAAATATACACAATTTGTCGATCACTGTTGTTCTACTTTAATCTACTGCGTTAACATTTTATAAATATATTATATTATAATCATAATATATTATATTATTAAACATATGGCACAGAATGTTTAATAAAATTGAAAGAAAGTTCATAATCATATTGCTCTTCTTTATTGACATTTGCAGTAAATATTAAAAATAAATACGGACAAGTGAACATTGAGTACGGACAAGTAAATTTCTTAGGTTACTTGTCCGTGGACAAGTACAATTTTCTGAGATTTTGCCGGCCCTGCATTAAATGAAGATAAAAAAGCCATAGTTGATTCCTATCATGGATGATATCATGGGTGGATTAACAGTTATTCCCTTCTGATTTACTATTAAAAAGCTTGCGCCGGACATTTTATTCATATTCACTTATGTTGTAAAGAAAATGAAAGTAGATTACGAAAGAAACGATCTTTAATTTAACTTCATTTGTAACAATTACATTGTTATACGCCGTCAATTTTATCAAATTTAACTCGTCGACAAAAAGGTTATCATAATTTTCATTTCAAATTACCGTTACAGTTATATGTCGAGCGGTCCTCTTAATTCTGACACTCATTTGATAGTGTAAATTTAATTGATCCGTCCATCATAAATTATTGTTACGGGTAGTAGTATGTTAGCGATTTAATGATTGGTTTAATAATGTCGCCTCGATTAAAACGTGAATTACGATTGGTTTCTCGCACGTATCGGTAATCTCGCCGTGGGCGGAGTCTAATTGTTCCACGAGTGTCGACTTTTATGACATGTTGGTAAACAAACGGATTAATGACATTTCGCGTTGATTGAGATGCATGACAGTCCCTTTTTCCGGCGGCGAGGGTAAACAAAGCAAACACACACAACATGTTATTCACAGTTATTGTTGGTAATTTTCAATAATGGATCAATAAAATCGGGCGACTTCATCTTCGCTTTCATGTAGGATGTCGGCGAAGTCAGACGGAATTCGGCGACTATTTCGCCCGAATCGCCAACAAGCTCGAGCCCTGATCACCTCGTGTTATATCTGGTAATTACATGTACTATGCAGCGCGTGTATACATTAGTCTGATCAATTAGCGTGATAATGATCGGAAGCGTTATCGCTGATTGGCTAATCGCTTCATGGGTCGATGTGCATAGGACCGCCTAGACTGACACACGCTGACGCATTTGTGTATTTGTGGTTGTAAACAATCGGTAATGTTTATGCGTCCCCAGGCAAAATTAAGCATACATGGAATCCTTGCTCTGAAATATTTGCGTCCAGCTGTAATAAACATGCGTACCGGGACGCCTAAATAAGCGTCCCCGAGAACCCTGCAATAATTTGTACCAGAAGTTAATGATTGCATCATTGATGGTGGTGGATAATTGATATTTAACCGATTACATGATTAAACTTTCTTATATGAGCATAAGATGTCGTTTTACACGTGTAATTTTACAAACCGAAATTTTACGAACGTGTGTAAAAATGAAACATGAAAGGTTATTTTTAATAATATCTTGTCCATGTAACAAAATGAGTCATTTTTTTTGAAATTATTGATTCTTTCATCAACGTCCAACAATCAGAAGAAAAAAACTGTTGTATACTGCGTTGTATTCACTTTTTCATGAATTGAGCAATTTTGAGTTGTATCCCTTGTTAAATTATATATATCCCACCTACATAGAGGTGTACTGGTAAGAAATCCAGGTAATCCTCGCATGTATCAGTGCTATACACTGGGCATGTAAAAGAACCAAGGGGTCTATTCAATAAGAGCTAGGGACTGGTTCCCGGATTCCCTTGTATCTTAAAGCTGTTTCTTAAATGTATACAATGTATACCAGGGTTCTCACTAGGACTTTAAAACATGGAGTCCATGGACTCCCAACCCTGAAAAAGTTGGAGTCCAAAAGCGCGTCGCAATATATTTATGTTTACAGATTAGTCATTCAATGCTCACAATAGCATTGCTGATATTTTGAATCTTCAAGAGACTTTCAAAGTTTATAGTTATTCAAAAGAAACTCTGAACTACCTAGTATAATTATTGTTTTGTTGTTAATATTTATTATGAAATAAATCATTATAATTCATCAACACATGGAAATCTTTTTTTTTTTGTTTTTTTTTTTTTTCACTTTTATACCAAATCAAATTTTATTCTGGTAAAATAAGTCCATTCTAAAGACAGAAAGTTTATATTTGTAAAAAAAACGTAAATGTATATAGGCAGCGTTTAGCGGAACGAATAGAAAAATCGTGTACAGCTTCACACAGTGTGTATGAGATTCATTCGATCGACAATTATTTTAGCAAATATCTTCAAAAGGGGGCAAATTGAAGATCGATATTTAAAGATTTAATGTTAATTAAATAATAAAGGAACAATTCATTCACATGTTTGGCTTGGAAACTGAACATTTTTGCGAAATTTTAGGGTTTCTGGCGAACGTGAAATTGCCGATGTTCGGGATCAATTTTCGGATGGAATCTAAATATCAAAGAAAAGCGTACAGTGTATGTGTATTTTGGCTTGTTGTCCTGGCATTTCGGCACAATATCTTAAATTCTTAATACTTTTATAGAAGCGTTTTTGCAAGAATGAAAAACTTAAAGCAAAAATTGTGCCTAGAAAATGCCGAAAATATTCGACAATCATTCAAAATTACACTCATTTGTAATTTGAGAAAACAGTCTTTAAAAACTTGCGGCGTAAATAGTCGATAATTTATCCTTTAGCTCGGTAAATTTTGCTAATTTCCAATCAACTGTTGATGAAGATATAAAATTATCACCTCGTGTTATATCTTGGTAATTACATGTACAGCGCGTGTATACATTAGTCTGATCACTGTTGCGTGATAATGATCGGAAGCGTTATCGCTAATTGGCTAATCGCTTCACGGGTCGATGTGCATAGGACCGCCTACTGACACGCGCTGACGTATTTGTGTATTTATGGTTGTAAACAATCGGTAATAACTATGCGTCCCCAGGCAAAATTAAGCGTACGTGGAATCCTTGCTCTGAAAAATTTGCGTCCAGCTGTAATAAACATGCGTACCGGGACGCCGAAATAAGGGTCCCCGAGAACCCTGGTATACCTGCCTTTAACACTCGTAAGAGGGGTTGGCAGTATCCAGAGATAGATAGATATAGTGGGAAAGGATAAAAATGACAGAATCCCCTGTGGGGGAGATTAGAGACAAATAATTTCTTTCATGATTTACCTTATAATACCAGAAAACAGAATTTAAAAAAATATCCAAAATCTATTTCAACATAAATTTAGGGTGGTTCGAATTCAAACTAGGCATCTGTAGGAGTGTCTGTCATTATGACATTTTTCCTGGAAAAACTTATTTTCCGGAAATTTTAATGTCATAATGAAAAAAAAAATATAAAAAGTTACGGAAATAACCTTTGACTGCTGAAGCAGATGTTTATAATAATTGTTAGTTTATGTTGTACAATTCATCGTTTGTGCTTATAGTCGAAAACACAAGTAGTTTTTGTTTTGTTTTGATAAATTTTGTTCCTCCTCAATCCAAAATGGCCGACTGTTACCATTAAGTCACGTGACGTTAAATGACCGAATTTTATAACCCCAAAGAAATTGAAATAGCGAAAAGTAAACCAAGTAAATTTTGTCACTTTGATTAACCAGTGCCAACACATGTATACTGAATATTAAAGAAAACCTGGATTCGTGTTTTATAACCTGTCGTTATTATAATGGAACTGTCATATCAACTCGTCCCTAGTCAACTCGACAGTTGGTCAACTGTCATATTTTTGCTCAACTCATCCCATCCTTTCGTTCAGATCATGCTCTCGGGTCAACTAGCTTGTCCATATTTTGGTCACTAATTAATTAATATTCATTAATATCAGGTTAGATGTTTTAAATCGTTTTTATAGAGAAAAAAACAACAACAACAAATATTATTTATATTTAAACTGAGATAAAATATAAGATAAATCAATCTGAAATCTTTAAGATAAAATTATTAAAAGTGTAATGTATGTAAATGGATTTTTAAAATTATCTTAGTGATGACTTTATATGTTATTCTTAAAAAAATTTCATATTCTAGGTGACACCAACGCCTAGCCTGATGACACGCCCAGCCTGATGACATGAAAATTCCCGTAAGGCGTTTACTACTTCTTGGATAATTAATCTTTATATTGTACTTTTTGTTGTGAAACTCATGCATGTTCGATTCTGTTCGTTACTTCAACATGAAAAGAGATTTACGGTCACTAATAGATATACTGACTTTAGATATGAAGAGCTGTTTGACAAATCGGTATAGCATCAGAAATTAGAGATAATTAGATTTTGAAATACATTTCAGGAAAAAGATTAATTAATTGCAAAGTTCTAACCTTAGCCTTAAAAGTGAAATTATGATGATAAATACTGAAAATCAGTCATTCATTGTGCATAACATGTATGTCATTACTATAATTGTGACTGTTCACTATTTTATTAAAATTTAAAAAGTTGATTTTCTTTATATAAGTCAAGCAGTAGAAATATGGTGTTAAATAATGTATTGTTTGCCTTGTACCTATGAATTCACTTATTTTAGGTGGACTTTTACAACATATATTGAAAATAATAATGTCAACAACTCCTAGCATTAAATTACTTTTACATGTTTAGTTTCTTTGCGTATGTTAGATCCGTTCTGTGTATTCATACTATTGTGTTCGAGGTCCTTATCCGAAGACTGACGGAAAGGGCCGAGTAGTTGCGATTGGCACAATAGTATGCATATACAGAACGGATATGGTATTCAAGTATAACCTACATGTACGCTTAGAAACTGAACATGTAAACAAATATATAGTAATTAAATGCTAGTCTCTTTTCCAATATATCAAGTAAAAGTCAACCCAAAATAAGTTAATTAATAGATATAAATGTAAACAATACATTCTTATATACTTATTATCGTGGTTGTAGAGACCGAAAATGCAAAATGCCAACCTAATGACATATTAAGTCGGATTTGTTTATTATTGTGCACCAGTGGGTATGTCTAAATTAAATGGTTGTCAGACATTTTTCCAATCATATTTGTACCGAAACAGACTTTATTTTCCTTTGAATGTCACATATATACATTCTTTTTACAATTATCGAAGATTACACTCCCTGTTTCGGTTTACATCTGAACCGTATTGTTCCCGAGGTTATTATAGATAATAGCCGAGGATGTTCCGATATCCCATGACTTTGCAATTAGCTCAAAAGTTAGAGCGTTGGTTCGATATGGAATGAAATATAATATTACTTGTATTATGACATCTGCTTGTTTTTTTTGTTTTTTTTTTTTTCATTGATCGCATCATAAAACTTATGACCAACGTTATCAGTTGACATTTGTGTTTATGTGAGTTTGTATAGGTGGCCTTTGGCTTACTATTAAAATAAATACAAAATGAAACTTCAGCTTGGAAAAGGAAAATATATAATATGTGTTATTTGCTTGTTGATGGCTATACAAGGTATTCTTTTTTAAGCTTCTGCCTTAAGTTAACATTGCATTAAATGAAATAAATAAATGAAATATTGACAAAATTTGATGAAAAAAATGCGCGTATTTTTAGTTTTCCTTATTTGCACTGTAAAAAATTATTTTTCACTGCAGTGAAAACATATTTTATGTATTTTCACTGATGTCTTGTCGGACTACTTTTTTCTACATTCAGCCTAAAGACAAATTTTAAGGGGAAGTCTTTCAAATTGTTATGTTGAAAAAGAGAAAATGTAAATTATAAACAGAAAATTTAAGTATTTTCTTTAATAACAGGATTTGATTTTATCTTGTGGTACGAAAATTATCATATTTCAGTCGTGGCTACCGACTTACGTGACTTATTACAGATTATGTTATACAAATACGGACTTTTTTACGTGGGGAGTATTATAAGGATCTAACACTGGCTACCGGTACAAACCGAAATATCTATGTCGAGGGTCCTGTTTACGGCGGTAATGAGGCTCTGCCGAGTTAACGCTAAACAGTAACCCTAGAGCAAGGTATTTGATTCCTTTTATTTGCATATCAAATATAAATCATTTTTCGGTAAAAAAATAAAAACAAATATTTTCATGTAGCACTTTTATACAACTTTATTCATAACGAAAAATGAGGTCATCCTATATAAACCTAATTCATTATTAAAAGGCTAGCGAGAACGTCGTCATTTAAAGCACGCAACCTGTCTTATAACGGGGTGAGGGCTGTATAACAGGTTTTTCTAGCAACGGTGTAAACTGTAGATATGCAAGAAGATGTGATATGTACTGTAAAAAATGATAACGAGGGAGGCTAAAGTCTATTAAATCTGTTTCTGAATATGACGCAAATCAATATTTTTTTAGTTTGTTTACTACTTTGACCAAAGAGACTCACTAAGTCGTGGCTGATATATAAATAAATTGGAATAAACACTTTAATGTGAAGAGAACAAGGAAGATATCACTCCACATAGGTATCATTGTTTTATATAACGGACACTAAAAACAATAAAGAGTATAATTGTATGAGATTTGAGAGACAATAGTTAAGTTTATTGTATATGTGCGTAAGACGCTGGGAATTTTCTTGAAATCACATCATTAAACATACTATATACAGCATGGCTCAAGATCCATACTTATTTTCATAACAATAAGGAAAAAGGAAATTTATGTAAAATATTGTGAAATGTACAGAGGAAGTAAATTACACATTGCATCCGTTCAGTAGCGTTATAAATCAAGTTTTTATTGTCCACAAATAAAACAATTTGTCTTGAATGTTTCAGAAAAGTTCAGAAAAATGTTTGAGAATCTTTAAAAAAAGTAAAATGTCAAATTTGACCACTATGTTGGAAATGTCATATCTAGGCTTATTTTATGTAGTCTTCTTCGCTGGCGTATTTCAGATTGTTTAGAGAATATTTGGAAAACATATTAAAACACTGGAAATAAAATAGCAATCAAAAGAAAACATGAAATTGCCCTGAAAGTGTTTTCTGTTGCAAGGACGTACAATATGTCAAGTGTCGTTCTGAAATATTGTATGAATGTTGTTTCATTTTTGACATGATATTTGCATATATGAATGTGCTTCTCATTTTAGTTATTACGAATTGTTTCAATGTTCTACTTGTCTGATTATCTTAATAATTATGTCATTTATATTAGGCAGATAAAAACGTTTTTTAGTGTAAAGCGTTGTGGTTTATTTGAAAAGGAAATTTTATTGTTGTGTTTTTTTTTAATTTCAGCAACATAGTTGCTCATTTATTTTCCCCGTCCATGTGGAAAGTGGGGTCGGGGAACCATCCACCACTTCCACTTACAATGTCAAACATCTATCCCAATATAGGGACATACAAAGTTATGTTATATGATAATTATGTTTTCAACATAACAACATAACTATAAAGAAAACATACATATTCATACCATATATAATGTTGAAAGAAAAAAAAAGTTCCATGGGGACAGATTTATATAGTATTTAAAGATGGAGGTTTATTATGTTAAAAAAAATATATGTTTCACAAATCTTTTAAAAAAAAAAAACATTTTCTAGCCAAAGCTTACTGCCATGTTTTGTATGTTATATTATTTTGATTGTACATAATTCACATATTTAGTGTATATATTCAATACTAAATGTATAACAAGTTTACAGACAAAAACTGCAGCTAAATATAATAAAGCAATTTTAATTGTAGTGAGCACAGGTACATGTAACAAAACTATCTCCAATGCTCTATATTTGCTATATACTACAGTCTTATTCAGTATATTGCCCATATAGAGCACCAAAGACAGTCTGCCTCAAGTACCTGTGGTAGTGAGTAAGTAAGGTAGCACTCCACAGTTAATTTCAAGTTCCTGCCGTCAATGTCCTACAAGCAATACGTCTAATAATTCTGATACCAAACTACACAACCTGGAAAAAGAAAACACATTTTGTTGAGAACATATATGACATAAGATTGCAAGATCATATTAGATGTCACAAAAACAAATTTTATGCTGAAAATGCATTTTAAAGACAACCAGTCATTTAAATCCAGAATATTCACTATAACCAAGAAATCCTTACATTACTGTGGTGTGCTACCTAAACAATCTTTCTAGTATGCTTAGGAGTTGTCTCCCTTAAACCACTTATATTTATGTTTCAGATGAAATTTAATGGTAATGCCTAATTGCTAGAAAAAAAACAAACTTTTAAATGTTAATATGAACAAGTTCTTTCATTATGTAAGTTCTTAAAAAAAATTTTTTTCACTGCTTTAAATACTTCAGGTCTAACCTAGACAGGGGAATTGTACACTTTTCATAGTCAAAGACTAAACTTATAACACTTATTACAAAATGTGTGTATACAAATTTATGTACATAAATAATACACAAATTATCAGAATATAAATACAAATGTAGACCGAAAGCTTTATGTATGAATTGATTCATAAACAAATAGATATATAAAAGGTTTTTGGTGTAAACTACTAGAGTTTCCTTCTTAAAGAAAAATGATAAATAAAAACAATTGAAAATGAGAATCAAAAAGGATGTGAATAAGGCGCGGTGGAAGACCACATTATAATGGTAGTGGGTCTGAGTTCAGAAAACTGTTTTTTTCTTCTTTTTTTTGCTTTGCATATAGTTATGTTAAATAGAAATTTCATAAAAAACCTTTCAAGTATAGTACATGGATATAATATTCTCTATTGGGATTCAACTGGAAGAACCAGACTTTTAAATTGTTGCCATGACTTTTCAAAGTTTTCATACCTAAACGTTTGTTTTGCAACACATTTTTCAATGTTATAATTGGCTATTATTTGTGACTTAAAAATTTCCAGTCCAGGCCTTATTTTTTTCATTTTACTATAATATACATGTATAAATTGCTTTGCCCATATTATTATCTTATTTATAACAATATCTAATTTTGTATTACCAAATAATATATCTATAGTAGTCCAATCATTAAAATTCAGATTACATTTATTTATTATATAAGACTGAAATTGCCGCCAAAATTGTTTAATTATTTCACAGTCATTGAACAAATGGATCAAAGTTTCTGGCTGACTTTGGCAAAAAGTACAAGCATCTTCATTAGTAAGATTCATTTTTTTCAGCAAGTGATTTGTTTCCTAGTATTCTATGATTAATCCTAAATTGGAACCAAGTTGTTTTGGGGTCTTTAAGTAAATTTATAACTCATATCAAATAGTATTGAATTCCTTTCAAAAAAATCTTGGTTCTGTGAATATCTCTTAATTCATACTTGGCCCATTTTTTTGTAAAGAATTAGGAAAATGACCTGCATCTTGCATATGCTTTATAGATTGATTTACACCCTTTTTTATCCTTAATTATTAGTGCTAGAGTTTGCGGAATATGTGTATAGAAGCTAAGTTTTTTTAGCAAATGTTGCATATTATTTACTTCAAGAAATTCATTTAGAAGCTGTTAACATACTAGTGCTGCAAATCAGCCCATTTTACTAGCCTATTTAGAGGGGTAACTGGTCTATGTCAGCCAACAGCAAGTTTCATATACCAAAATGTTCGTCTGGATCTGTAGTTTCTAGAATGGATATTCATTTTTTGGCCCAACCCGCGATGCGAAGCTAAGCGTCAAAGATGGCCGCCAAATCCCTAAATATTCTAGTATTTTTTCGTTGGCTAATTTACTTTTTTCAGTTTTGTAAATTCAATTGAAATTTTGGCATAAAGTTTCTTATTTTCAACTTACTCATGCTATTAATTTTGACTTTATTGATTTTTTTCTAGTTTTCCATGCCTAATTTAAACGAAAGATAGAAAAAAATATGTTGCAAACTGGGTGTGCTTGCCTGAATATGTGTAAATTATTAAAGTTTTATTCTTGTTTAAACTGAATAACTATTAATGATTTCGTTTAGTAACAGGCTTTAAAACTATATCTAGCACATATTTAGAATAAGTTAGAATAAGCGAGACTATTGCCATTTAAATGTGTTTTATTGATTTAAATTCATATACAAAGTGGGTGGGGTATTACGAACGGGCTGGCAACTTTTAAATTAAATAACTTTTTAGTTTTATATTATAATAGTGATATTAAAAAGATTAACAATTTTTATTAATTGGTTTAGTGATGAGACATCTTACCTTTCATAGAAAAATCCCTGGCAATGTGTGTCTAAATGTTGAAATCTCTCTTTTATTTGTCTGATGCACACAATAAGGAATACTAATTTACTGACCTGCAATTCAGTATTTGGGCGTTGACCTTGTGCTTGCCTTTTTTTGTTAAGGATTTGTTTGCAAGTTTGTTTCTCCTTAGCTCATAAACATTCATTGTTGTCTTCAAATGTGATTTTGATTATACTTGTAGGTCACTGTTCAAGACCCATAAGCTAAGCTAAGCATTTATTAGGAAATGATAATATCTATTTATTAACATACAGAATTTTTCGGACAAGATTAATCTCCACAACCATCATAGGTTACTTCCCTTTAACATGTTTTTTATTTTCAAAAGATTTATACTACTTTATGAATAAGAGAATTTCTTTATTATGCAGGGCTGTTGATTTTAAATATTCGAGCGTGGCTGTCTGACATGCAGCTCTTGTTTTAGGCATTAGCTAAAATATGATAATATACAATTGAACCATATTTGGAGTTTTGTCATTATTGATGACGGTATATAATATACATTAAAATGTAAAATGTAATTTGCTAGAACATTTAAAATGGGTAGGTTATTCAGTTTACAGTAAGAGACTTTTCTGCTAGACTGGATCTCAATTATGAATAAAATATTATATAAATAAACATATGTATATATATTGAGTGAATTGAAAATATATATAATTTTCTTTTTAGCTATTCGACGATTTAGGACAACTATCCTAGTCGCCCGAGCGTCGGCGTCGGCGTTAAAGTTTGCGTACCATCTCAAAGTCCATTGACATATGACATTGAAACTTGCACACTTGTTTACCATCATGCCCTCCACTTGAACACTTTAGG